CAGGTGAGGGACGAAGAAGTGGGCAGCAGGGATGAGCTGCCTGCCTGCCAGAGATATGACATGGACCTCCAGTATTCTCTGCCTTGTGTTTGCACAGAAGAGGAGGTTCTGGTGAGTCAATCTCACCAACGGATGAAGACCAAAATCTGCTACTCCTCCCAGAAAAAGGAGACATCCACTCTTAGGAGAATGGAGAAGCCAGCAGGGAGGGTGGGAAGGGCTGAGGCATGATGGGAAGATCTTCCCAGTGGCCTCAAGGTGCTCCTGTCTCTGAGGTATAGGACACAGCCAGTAATGGCTCTCATGGGGTCCTGGTTCCTACGTGTACTGTCGTGTACATCAGCAAGGCACTATGGCTGGAGTGCTAGTCTGTGCCCAGAGTTGGGCCCCCTTAGAAGGCGGAGACACCCCTCCAGAGTCAAAAGCATGAGAAGAGAGGGCCAGCCCTGGTGTGCTCTGACAGGCAGTGAAGGTCCGCTCCCACCAGCCTCACAGCCAGCAAGCGAGGCTGAGAGCAAGCCAAAACTCCCCCCACTCCTCCGTGAGTGTGAGATCGGATCCAGCCTGAAACAACTCCTTTTCTCCAGTTGAAGATTTGTGAAGAGGATAGTGCAAATGCCTGAAAGCCTGACTCTGTCCTCAGCAGTCCCCTCTCCTGGCCACCTGACAGCCCTGTGACTCTGGAGAAAGAAGCGATGGAAGCTGACTAAGAGCCCTAAGGAAGCTGCCTCCACTCCCCACCTGACCGGCTCAGTGCCCTGCTCTCTTCCCACCAAGGGCCACAGCGGTCCTTTGGGAAGGGCAAGACCCCAATCAAAGCAGGAGTCCTGGAGCAGAAGGGCAGAAGTCAGCAGGAAGAGAGGCAGATAAGTTTTGCAGATATTAAGGCAAACGGTGCCACCTAAGATCTTTATTCAAATGGGGTTTATCACGTGGACAGAAATCACAGTTGAACAGCACAGGATTCCTCTTGGAAGTGCCAACATGGCCCCTCCCCACAGCCATCTGTCCAAAGTCCCTATCACTGTCTGCTCTCCAGCTCCGCAGCCCTATGCTGCTGGCCCCCCACAGCCAGAACCCCTGACCCAGCACGGAAAGGCAAGGGGATGGCCTTGGGCCACGCCATGTCCCACAGCTGAGCAACCCTGGCTTCCAGGGCTGGCAGGCTCTCCTTTCCACCTCGGGGCTGAGCTAGGTCCCCCTGAGGGTGGAGACTGGAGCTTCCCAGAGTCAAGGGGTGGAGGGTCAGGGTGAGGGTGAGGCTGTCCAGGTGCAGAGGCCAGGGCTCCAGTCATTCCTGATCCTGCCCTGCATCCCTTCCTAGGGGCTCAATAGATCTTCTGCCGGCTGGGGAGAATGGCCTCTTTGATGAAGGAGAAGACAACCAGGATCCCTAAGAGTTTGCCCCGCTTGCCTTTGAAGTAATTGGAAACCACGTCATCTCCTGGCTATACGGTGGAAGGCAGGATGTTCTCGCCAGCCGACAGTGACACAAAAAAAGCGAATGGGATTATCCACAGACAGAATGTAAAATAGGCCAGGACCTTCGAAAAAGGGTAATACTGTTCTGCGAAAAACTGAAATACAAGGTAATGATTCACCACCACGAGCCCGCACAACAAGATGAAGTTCGGCGAGGTCAGCATGATGAACGGGAAGGTCTGAAGGAGGCCGAAGTAGGCGAGGTTGGTGAAGAGCCCCATGCCGATGATGAAGGTGGGGAAATGTTCAAAGACGTAGAGGCCAACCAGCACAGCTGTGGAGAACCAGATCATGTATTTTATGATCCTGTTGGTAGCCATTGTGTATTCAGTCAGTTCGGCCAGGTAAATAGAGGCCGGCTGCGTCGCCAGAGTGATGAAGGACACCTGGATGAACAGCGACAGCCAGCTCAGCACGTACATGAACACACACGAACACACACACACACACACACACACACACACACACACACACACCCGCGCACTCCCGCTCCGGCGACACGGAGCCGCTGAGAAATAGCTTGGGTTTTTAATGGTTTATGAAATAAAACGAGTCATCAGCCTGTCCACCTGTATTTTTGGCATGATCAGTAAATGTTTGTAATATCTTTTCATTAGTTATGAATAATTTCTCACTATATTTGGGGATCAGACACTTACATGTACTAACTCACTTTGTTTTATTGATCCTTAAATACCGTTTGGGGTGGCATGGTCAACGCAGAATCCTTGGTCCTGGGTGATCCTCCCCACCTCAAGTCGATTAATGTATGTTTCGACTTGCCTAGATCTGTATTCATGCTCTCAGCATTATGTATAGAAAGGTCAACAATTGTTTTCAGACATAGCTCAGAAAGTGTATTTTTACATTATTAATAGATAACCACTTCAGAGAAACAGTTTACACTTTTGAAACTATTTTCCCCCCTAACTTACACATTAAGTATATAGTTATTTGGTGTATATTTTCAGAACTCTTTTTGAAGATTAAAAATACTATTTTGAAAACCCAGCATTTTTATAAACATTAGTTATTTGTTTTAACAAACAGAAGTTTATTCTGTGACAGTTTAGCTGACTAGAAGCCCAAATTTATGGTGCCTGCTCTAGGAGAAGGCTCTCTCTTGTTTGATTGTCGAGGAATGGTCTCTTTTCCTTTGGCATCTTTTCCCTGGAGACCTCTGTGTGTTCAGGCCTTCCCAGAATGGTGAGTTTCAAGGACATTCATCGTACAATAAATAACTAACATCCAGAAAGACACCCTTCTCTTCTGGTAATAATTTCTTGGTAGTACTAAGTCCCTCCTGAATTTATGTAAAAATTGTGAAACAAATGCTTCTCATTGAGAATTAGAATAGCTACAGATTTTTTTCTTGTAAGATAACACAGAAATGCTTGTTAAGCTTATTTTAAGCATCTCTTCCAAATGTTTTTAAAAAACTATTTTACTAATGAATATAAAATAGAGTACCTATACTAGATAGGAAGTTATTATAACTAGTTATTATAACAAGCGTGGGACTCTGGTAGCCTAGTGGTGTGGAACTGGGGACTGTGCTGCCAACCCAAAGGTGCTCGGTTTGAACCCTCACACTTCTCCGTGTGAGGCAGATGGGCAGTCTTCCTCCCATGCAATTTACAGTTTCTGAAAACCCACTGTAGGCTCAGCTCTGAGCCGATTCTGATTCGATAGTACACTCAACAATATAGTAAGTGTAGTACAGAAGTAGTGTAAGAATAAAGCGAAATAAAATTCAGTGGACCTAGGTTCTTTGATTTTTATGACTAATTAGAGTGTCTTCCTTAAATAACTTTTAAGTTGAACTTCGAAGGAATGTATGTTGTTGTTGTTATGTGCCTTCGAGTCGCTTGTGACTCATAGTAACCCTATGTACAACAGCCCTAAACTCTGCTCTGTCCTGTGCCAATCGCACTGTCTCCGAGACTCCCATCCCGATTACCCCAGTCACTGAATCAATCCACCTCATAGAGGGCCTTCGCCTCCTGCGCTGTCCCTCCACCCTACCAAGCATGATGTCCCTCTCCAAGGAGGGGTCCTTCCTCACATGTCCAAAGTATGTCAGACAGAGCCTCAGAATCCTTGCCTCCAAGGAGCCATCCGGTTTAACCCTTTCCAGGATGAATCTGTTTGTTTTCCCAGCAGTCCATGGTACTCTCAATACTCTTCTCCAGTACCACAGCTCAAAGGCATCAATTCTCCTTCTATCCTCCTTAGTCATTGTCCAACTCTGGCCTGTATCAGACGCACCTTAGTCTCCAGAGAGACACCAGTGCTCTTCAGTACTTTGGAGAGGTCCCTAACAGCAGACTTTCCCATCACAATACACCTTTTAATTTCCTGGCTACTGGTGCCAAGAGTGTTGACTGTGGAGCTAAGCAAACTAAAGCTGTGAACAACTCAATCTCTTCACCATCCATCCTGATGCTACCAATTAGTCCAGTGGTGAGAATCTTTGTCTTCTTGACATTGAGCCTTAATTATATTGGAGGCTGCAGTCCTTGACCCCCTGCAGCAGGTGCTTCAGGTCCTTGTCAGTTTCAGCAAGCAGGGTTGTGTCATCTGCATTAACGCAGATTGTTGATAGATCTTCCATCAATGTTGACCCCACATTTCTTCTCATAGAGCCCAGCCTCCCGGATAATCTATTCTGAATACAGGTTGAAAAGGTATGGAGATAGAACACATCCCTGGTGTACGCCCTTCCCAATTTTGAACCATGCAGTGTTCCCTTGCTCTGTTCTGACGACTACCTCCTGGTCCAAGTATAGGTTTCACATTAGAACGATCAAGTGTTCTGGGATTCATATTCTTCTCAGAGTTAACCACAGTTTGTTATGATCCACACAGTCAAACGCCTTTGCATAGTTAATGAAACACAGATAGACATTCCTCTGGTACCCCCTGCTTTCAGCTAAGATCCATCTAACATCAGCTACAATGTTCCTAGTACCACGACCCCTTAGTTTATGAAAATGTCTGCGATAGTTCCTGGTATGTATTTGGGATTCATAGAGCTAAATACTGACATTGGATTCTATCTAGCGTTAGATTGAAATGTCCTGGATTTAAGGACATGGTTTTCTATTATTTTTCCTGATACGTTCCTTGAAGCACTACTTGAGTGCCCTAAATAAACTTAATGTTTAGTAGATGTTGACTGATAACCTAAATGTCAGCTAAAATATTCCAAACTATTTGTTTAAGACTATTTTAATTTTTTTATTCTTAAAATCTACCATTCTTGTACTTTTACTTAATCTCTATTTTACTTAGGAAACACAAGTCTGAGGGAGGAAATCATCAGTCTCTGTACAGTGTAGTTTACAGCCCCAGGAAACTATTGGAGGGTCAGCTATGAGTCACTTCTGACTCAAGTCGGTTCTGACTCAAAACTTAAGTGAGAGTTTTTGAGTACTTTATATAACATCAATATGTTTTCTTCTTCTTTTAACAGATTGCTAATGTAACAAGGTCATCCCTTTCCTCTAAAAAGCATCATGTCTCGATCTCGCCAGCCTCCGCTTGTGACAGGCATCTCTCCAAATGAAGGGATTCCCTGGACAAAAGTCACCATCAGAGGAGAGAATCTGGGAACTGGGCCAGGTGACCTCATCGGTAAGGCCAGGACTGTGCTGTGTACCCACAATGTATGTTTTTATGTTGGCAAGATATGTTGTTTGAAAGCATGTTATCATTGCTCTTCAGTACTCTAGAGAGGTCCTTGATAGTAGATTTTCCAAATGCAGGCCATCTTTTGATTTTCTGACTGCTGATGCCAAGGATATTTATTGTGGATCCAAGTAAGATGAAACCATTAATGACCTCAATCTTTTCTCCATTTATTCAGATACTCATATGAGCTCTGGTGGTCTAGTGGTAAGAAGCTGTGCTGCAATCCAGAAGGCACACAGTTCTAATTCACCAGCTGCTCTGTGGGAGAAGGATGGCCAGTTTTCTCCTGTGAAATTAACTAACTGCCTCTGAAAACCCGCTGGAGGGTCAGCTATGGGTCGGTTCCAACTTGATGGCACACATCAACAATTCCAATATTATCAATTTAATGTTGACTTGTGATGATACCCTGTTTTACTTCTTGTTCAAGTTATTTGTGTCTTTTATTTCTTTTTTTGTTGTTGTTAGGTTTACCAGTGATTTATCTATTATATTAAACCTTCTGAAGAAACAGCTCCTGCTTTTGTTGATGGGTTCAGTTGTTTTTATGTTTTCTATCCTGTTGATTTCAACCCTTATCTTTATAATTTCCTTTCTTCTAGAAGCAATGGGATTAGCTAATTCTTCCTTTTCAATTTTCTGAATATTTGTTAAATGAAATCTAGTTGCTCTATATTTTATATTGGTTTGCATAAAAAATTCTTATGATTGTGTTAAATTCATATATATTGTGTTTCACACATTTCTTCATTTGCATTGTGTCATGCCATCTTTCCAGGTCCCCACTAGATCTTTCCTCATTTCTTCACCCCTCCCTCTGAACACCAAATTCTGGGACCTTGTGATTTCCCCTGCACCTACCCCTTCCTGCTTTGGATGTTTATGCATATCTTACTAGTTATCTTTCTATTTTTACAGTAATGGTTTTATGTAGTATTTGTCCCCGTGAGACTGAATTAGTTCACTCAGCATAATGTTCTGTAACCTCTCCCATGTTATATAGTATTTTTCAAAATTGTTGCTTCTGAGTGCTGCATAGTATTTCATCTTGTGAATATACCACAATTTCTCAATCTTTTTGTTTGTTGATGGACATTTGGACTGTTTTCATTTTCTTGCTGTTGTGAATAATACTACTATGAACATCCGTGTACAAATCTCCATTTGTGTCTCAGCTCTGTTTTCCTCAGAGGGTATTGCTAGCAGTGGAATAGCAATATCATATAGAATTTCTGTGTTCCGCTTTCTGAGGAAAAACCAAACTGCCTTCCAGAGTGGTTGTACCAATTTATAGTCCCACCAACAGTGTATGAGAGTTCCAATCTCTCTACATCCTGTACAACATTTATTGCTTGTTGTTCTATTAAGTTTGCCACTGCTACTGGGATGAGATGATGTCTCAATGTGGTTTTGATTTGCATCTTTCATATTGCCAGTGTTTTGAAGCATTTCTTCATATATCTATTGGCTATCTGAATGTCTTCCTCAGTGAAAAGTCTTTCCATGTCTTTTGCCCATTTTGTAATTAGTTTATCAGTCTTTTTCTTGAGGAGGCTCTGTGCTGTAAACTTTCTTTATGCTTTGAGAAGGCATTGCCAATTTTTCCCCCCCAGTCAGGTTCCACCCTATTGGGAAAAAGTTTTTGACACAAAGAGGGATTTGATCTTTAAAAAGTCCCATTCGTCAATGTTATCCTATCCTGGTGGTGCAATTCTGGCTGTATTTGCTAGCCTTTATGCCATAGAAGAGACACATTTTATCTTTTGTGATCTTTATGGTTTGGGGCTTTACCTTGGATCTCTGATCCATCTTGAGTTGATTTTTTGTGTATTATGATGTGAGATGTAGATTCTGCTTGAGTTTTATGCAGGTAGAAGTCCAGACTTCTTACCTGATATATTGCTACCATCTCAAAATGACAATGCCATGCTGGCTGCTTAGCCAAGCCTAGACTCTGCCTACTTCCTTTTAAGTCCCGTTATCGTCAATTCTCTCTCTACTCTTCAGCTTTCCCTTTGATATGCAGGGTCAGTACTTGCATCTATTTCTTGATTATTTGTTGTAGGGGAACATTAAAACTTTCAGTGCTGTGTAATCTGAACTGACTTCGCTGATCACCCTCTAGCAGGTTTTCAGAGGTGGTAAGTTGTATAGGGGTAGATGGCCCATCGCTCTCCCATGGAGCAGAAAGTGGGTTTTAACTGCCTGCCTCTGGATTGGTAGCACAGCTCCTAGCACACTAGAGCAACATTGCTGTTATTCTGTGCTGTTGAGTTGCCTGCTATTCATAGAGACCCTATGTAGAATGACTCTAAAGCCTGCCCTATCCTAAGTCTTCTTAATATTTTAGTGTCTTCTTCTTGTCTCAGTAACTGAGTTTTGTGCTTCCCAGCTAGTTATTTTTGCTTGTATTACTTAAATGTATTTAATTTTGTATTCCTTTTTATAGATTCAGATTTTATCTCTGAGGTAAATATCATTAAAACTAGTTTTTCTTATGAAATGTTCTTTTTTATTTCTGTTTTTTTTAAAAATAATCTTTCTAGTTCTTTGTTTATCGAAAGTGGAAACAATCCAGAATATGTGGAGATTCATTTTTAAAAAATTATTTTTATTTTATATTGGTTTGCATACAGAATTCATGTACATTGAGTTTTGTTTGTATACACAATTTCACACACTCCTCCATTCATATTGTGTTTTCTTACAATCATTCCCATACACTGTGCTTTATAAAATTAACCACCATTGATCTAAGCCCACCATGACTTCACCTTTTCAGAGATCCTCACAGGATCTTTCCTAATTCATTCACCCCCTCTGCCTACCCACCAAACTTTGTGACCTCAGGATTTTTTCCCCCTTCCCCATACTCAGCCTCTCTCCTTCCTTCCCTTCCCCCACTGGACTTTTGTACACATTTTTCTAGTGATCCTTCTATCTTTGCCATAATGACTTTATGTAGTATTTGTTTTTATGAGACTGAATTCACTCAACATAATGCCCTCCAGACTCTCTTGTGTTATATAGTTGTTGCTGTTGTTGTTATGTGCCATCAAGTCACTTGCGACTCATAGCGACCCTATGCACAACAGCCCTAAACTCTGCTCTGTCCTGTGTCAATCACAATCACACTGTCTCTCATACACCGATCCCAATTACCCCAGTCACTGAATCAATCCACCTCATAGAGAGTCTGTTATATAGTATTTTTCAAAATCTGCTGAGTGCTGCATAGTGTTCCAAAACGTGAATGTAACTATAGCTTTTCAATCTATTCATTTATTGTTATAGACATTTGAGATTTCCATTTTCTTGCTATTATGAATAATGCTACTATGAACATTGATGTACAGATCTTGGTTTGTGGCTCAATTCTATTTTCCTTGGGTTATATTCTAAACAATTTTGCAGGAACTTTTTATTGAAAGGTTTGTCAAGGTTGTCATTTCTCCGCATGATAGGCTTTGTTTTATTGTCAATCTACAGCTGAGCAACAGTAGTTGAGCTAATTTCTGAGTTTTTATTTTGTTCTACTGATCTGTGTGTCTATCATTGTACCAGTACCATGCTGTTTTGGTTATTACAGCTGTGTAGCAGGTTTTGAGATCAGGGAGTGTTATGATTCCCACTTCATTCTTGTTTTTCAGAAGTGCTTTGCTTATTCGGGGTCTCTTCCCCTTCCACATAAACCTGCCAATTTCCTTTTCCTTACCTTTTAAAAGTGAGTTTTGTATCTGTATTGGGATTGCATTCAACAGGTGGATTGCTTTGTTAGGATTGTAATTTTCATTATATTGAGTGAACAGGGAATAGTAACTATCCATCAACAGGGAATATTTTCCCATTTGTATAGATCTCTTATTTTTCTTGCAGTGGTGTTTTACAGTTTTCTTTATAAAGATCTTTTATGCCTCTAGTTAGGTTCATTCTCAAGTATTTAAATTTATGATTAGCTATTATAAATGGCACTGTTTTCTTAGTTTCCTTTTCTGTGTCTCCTTAGTTACTGTAGAAGAATCCCACTGATTTTTTTTATATGGATCTTGTATCCTGCACTCTGCTAAATTGTTCTTCTAGATCTAAGACTTTTATTGCAGAGTCCTTGAGAGTTTCTGTATACACTACCATATCATTTAAACTTAGCAACAGTTTTATTTTCACTACCTTTTTGCCAGTTTGGATACCTCTTCTTTCCTTCTTTTGCTGTATTTCCCTAGCAAGTAATCCCAATGCAATATTGAATAGGAGCAGTGAAAATGGGCATCCTTGTCTTCTCCCTCTTTGTTGAGAATGTGTTACCTCATGGTTTTGCATATATACTTTTCATTATTTTTAAGAAATTCCCTCCTAGTCCTACTTTGCTGAGTGTTTTAAATAGGAAAGGGTGTTGGGTAATGTTGAAGGCCTTTTCTGCATCATTTGTCAAGATCATGTAGTTATTGTTCTATGCCTTGCTGATATGGTGAATTACGTTGATTGTTTTTCTTATATTGAACCATCCATGCATACCTATTATGAATCTAACTTGGTCTTGATGAATTTTTTTTAAAAAAACTTTTTTATTGTGAGTTGAGTGAAGGTTTATGAAACAAATCAACTTTTCATTTGGCCACTCATAAACGTTTCATTCTGTAGCACCATTTTCAGTATCCACAGTGCAATCATACTTTTCCCAAATCCTTCCTGTAATTTGGATTTTTATTAATCTTTTCTATTCCTCTCTCTGTCTTCCCATTATTAGTGCTGCAGTTGTTCTAACCATCCCTTTGTTGGTTATCACTTTTCCCTTTACTTATTTAGATATTCTCTGTTTACTGATTCCACATCCTTCTCTTTCCCTTCCGATCTCTGGTAATCATCGAAGAATGATTCTTCTATTCATGTCTAAAACTTCCTGTACGGGTTTTATTTTTTTGTTGTTGTTTCTTTTTTATAATAGT